GTATATTGTCTGTGTACATTTTCATTTCAGTTCAGACCTTGACGCATACCTAAGTCACACGGTCATAACTGTAAAAAAGAAATAAAGACAGCTAGTTAGACTCCACACATGTTAAGTATGTGTGATTGATACATGCATTGAATTAAACCAGCAAAAGATCTTTGACTAAAAGATTTGTCAAAATAAAATACCGTAGTCATACTGTCATAAAAAGCTATAGTGTAAAAAGACAGACCATGTAATTTAATCAAATGTAGACGAATGGTGAAAGAAAAACAACTCAAGACAAAGTATGTAGTGACTAAAGACCGCTGCAACATCTAAGTATCCCCAATCAGCGCAGGTCAAAATAACTCAGCTTTCCTTCGCGATGACAATACTCCTATAAAATACTCCACTGTGAAGGGATAACGTAAACTGGCCTGGGTGCAGGGGCTGAAAAATTAGCCTGCGTGACAGTTTGGTGATAACACACAAGTTCAATCTGTCAAGACAATCAGCATTTAGACCTTGGGCGAAGAATGCTCGGCTGTGTGAGACCGATTCATTGGACACATTGGATCACCTGCGCAAAGGAGCCACTCGTAATTCTTCCCACCTGAAAAACGGGGTTCAAGCCGGTGTCAGGGCGCTCCGGTGTCATGCCCGCCGAGGCTTGGGTTTCACAATAATCTCAGATACTTGGAGGGATGCCATGGAGTCCAGCTACAGTGACTAGATTTCTGTAATTAAACCTCACACAAAGAATAACAACCAAAAGTCTTTCAAAAATGCAACTACAGTCTGTTTACTTTCTTTCCTACATGTTCTTAAAGGTGTACTGTGCAACTTTTCTGATGGACGGCTACCTGCTTATCGCCATGGAGATGTTATGTTGCTATGCCTGGAATGTTCCATGGTATGACATTAAACATATCCATCTAGCCTTTATTCAAAAATACTCAAAAATACAATCATTCCTTCAGTGAACAGGGGCGACTGTAAATCTGAACTGTAATGTAACGTAGTGCTGTAACCTGCTTGTCTCACTTCGCTAAGAATGTTACATAGTGCATCTTTAAGCAGATGTTCTATGCAATGCAATATAGTAAAACAGAAATTTGCATCAAAAGCTGTACTATGTCACATTTCCAAGGAGATCTAATTGCTTTGCCTGGGATGTCCCTCAGTATTAAACTATAAATAAAATATGTCTTACATGCTTGTACTTCATTACAGATGTTTATACTGTTTAAAATAGACACTGAAAAGCATCTTACTGTGTCAAGATTGCCTCTCCACTGATATGACTTGTAAATTGTCTCTAATAAATGTATATATTTAATCAGTTTTGAAGTGTTTAAAGCAAATTCTATAGCCATAGCCTAAGTATAAACCAAACAGTGGTGATCAAATAGTTTTACACCTCAATTTGCATTTCTAAAATAAACTTTTCCACTAAGCTACGTACATCTGGCTATTTCTAGAAATTAACAAGTTTCCTGTTGTATTTGCAATTAGCCATTTCCATACCAAGTCATCTCAAATTTGTGGACTACAGAACTTTTGAAGGGGCCCCAAAGTATGCCGAGGCCATAACCTTTTTTTCCATTCCCAAATCACAACACCTTCTCCCGGGTCTATGCGCACAATCAAAACATTTTTCAGCTGATTCGACAACTTTAAACAGACAAGGAGCTACTATAGAGAAAGAAAAACACAGGCAACCATATAGATCAATACGAGTGGACAGGACTGCAATGTTCTCCTTAAAGAATAATGGCAAAACTCCTGGAAAAGCATCTCGCTATTCTCACAGCAGATGGACACAAACATCTGCCCTCTTGTTTTTCTTTTCTTGTAACTTAAAGGTGCACTGCGTAACTTTTTTGGTCCTCGGCACAATGCCACCTGCTTGTCTCCATGATGTCATTATGATTTTAAGTGATAATGTTCCACTGAATGGCATTAAACAGGCAGGTGGCGCTACTAGGCCAAGTTACAGGTCAGATCCATGGAGAGGCGACCCTGTTCACAATAAAAATGCATGTTTTTCAATGTGTTTTGTACAATAATGTAATAATAAAATTAAATTTCCATGAAGAGAAGCAGCTGGTGTGCTATTTACCATTAATGTTACACAGTGCACCTTTAAGTCTGTTTTTTTGTTTGTTTTTTTTTTTATTGTAAACCAAATAAAAAAGTTAAAAAGTGCTAAAATAAATACACTAACGCTCACTCCCAATGTATATCTTTTAATGATGGATCTATGCCATTTGACTGGGCTTGGGACTGGTCCAAAAATAGTTGTGAATGGATTGTGTTGTTTTTATGAAAGCCTAACCCTAACCCTAATGAATATATGTATCAATTAATCTAATCAATTTATATATTCATGGTCATACAATCTGAAGAGATTATAAAAGAATAGAAAAGTGATTTAGTTTGTGGTGAAATAGTCAGTTTCAGGGCAGTGCAGTAGATAATTAAAAGCAGCTGATTGACTGCGGCGACCCTTGAAAGGAAACGTCTGAAAGGAAAACTAAAAGAAGATATACTGTAAATTCCACAAGAATATCTCAAAACAAAAATGCATTAGTGTCAGCGTTAAAATGGCCCGGCCACATATCCAGCTGGTTTTATTTTTACTTTCTCATAAATAAGGCGCTTGGTTGAAACATGAGGAGTACACATGGAGGTGTGAAAAATATTGTGAAAAAAAGTTACATTCCAGAGTCTATTAAAAACAAGTGAGTTCTTAATCCTCAACCAGGCTGGGCATCATTGTTCCCTTTACGACTGCCCCAATTTGCTCACAGCACGATACTATCAAACCCCAAACCAAAGCTTATTAAATTCAAATTTGAAAACTCTAGAAACTTTAAAAACTACTTTCGACACCTCTCTCTCCCCATGTGTGAAGACAAAACAGTGGTCCAGCAGATCTCGGAGTGGGACTGGGTGCCAAAGGAAGGAAGCAGAGGAAGCAAGGAAAGTGAACCTTTGATGAGTAAGACTTTTTTGTTAAGCAAGAGGGCTTAACTTTAAAATATTCTGGGTGGCGGAGAATAGGATTGACCAATGGGGCTGATCTTCGCCACACACTGGGGCACTGGGGTTAATGGTGGATAAAGATTAGGGAGAAAAAAAAAAAAAAAAAAGAAAAAAGTGGGGTTGCCTTGCCTGATCTCAATCCAGCCCCCTCACCCTTTACCCCACAGTGCTCACCCACCTTCCACGCCAATCCCAAATGGAACACACAATGGACTCCTGCCAATGAGGGGAATGATCCAAGTCGCTTTGATTTCTGCCTATAGCCCTCTCGACAGCTCCAAGTGCCCAGGCTAAAGACCCGTGGAGGTTTCTGCCCACGACACTTACTGACTCCATTGGGGAATTGGAAAGGGGGGAAAGACATGCGCTCTGTGATCTATGACAAGAAATCAATTGCAAAGTGAAAATGTGAGAGCGGCGCTGTTCAGTCCAAGAGCCCTTTAAAGGAGTCAAAGATATACTTAATTGCTGTAGGTTTTGATATATGTGTCAACGCAAAGGAAGTAGAAGGAAGCGTGCGGTGTTGGGGCAATTACGCTCCCCTGCAAATGATTAGAAGGATTTTTTAGGCCAGCAGATAAGCATTGGGAGACCATCTTTGAAGATTTAAGGCTCTACCTGGCAAATGAAGAAGTAATATGACTCTCTATTAGGTGGAGAGAGATAGAAGCAGCTTTTGGTCCCAGAATTGGCAAAAGTAGAGGGGAGGTTGCCCAACTAGAACTTTTCACTTAATTGAGACAAATTCTATCATGTTACAGCTATATAATAAAGTCAGAAGCATACAAATGTGGTGAAAAAAATTTGTCAAAATTTCCAAATACTCACCCTTGATATGAAGCAACATTTTTTACAGTTGAAATAATATTCAAAACAATATCATTAGGTCAACTGTTTTTTGTTTTTCTTTTATTTCTCAGAACGTTTTGGTAATAAATTGTGAAATTTTACAAAAACTGGTTGTCTCTGGATTTATTTGCAGGGATATGATGATATCCAAGTCTCTCAGTATGATATCGTCACGGTATGAACCTCACAGTACGATATTGATTGCAATATTATTTTGTGGAGGCTAACAAAACTGTGAAAATGCTACTTTTTCCTCTTAAAAAGCCTTAACAAGACTTAATCCAAAGAACTAAGACTTAAAAGTGCTTAGGACAGTTATTTTTTCATGTAGTCTACACTGAAATGACGCAAAGGATCATGGTCTATGTAGTTCCCTCTGTCTTTTGTTAGCTATTGTAGCACCATAACTCTTTATTTAAGCAAAGAGACTTTTTCGTAATTCGATATATTATGATGGTCCACGATATTATTGTGAGAACTTTGATGATACGATATCACAATATTTTGGTTATTTGGTTATTGTTACATCCCTACTTATTTGAGAAAGAAAATTTTACAAAATCCAGTTGACCCAATCATAGTGTTTAGAGTAAAAAAAACTTGCATAGACTTAAAATGACACCGTGTTCATAGATTTATGAGTATACAGAGCTAATCATTGTTTATATAGTACGTGATGTGAGTATAATTGGTGACACAAGATTCTTCTGAGTCATTGTTGAACAGCTTGGAGACAGAAACTTTCTTTTGATGACGTTTTGTCATTAGCAGGAGATATATGTCCTGATTTAAACTTTGCGTTTGGATATCCCCTTGTAATTGCATGTTGTTTAGGCTTATGTAGATGCCCATCCATGTGCTCCTATTTTATTTTTGTCTAGTTTTGGGACAGGTAAAAAGATTAGGATTCAGTTCACACTTCCTGGTTTGTAGGTTTTTGTTAAGTCCTGCTCTAGTCCTGTTTTAGTCCTGTTCTAGGCCAGCTTTAGTCCCAATTTGGAAGTGTGAACACAGCCAAAATTAATCGAGACCCTCCTTGTGCCTGGACTACAATGACTACAGAAACTACACTACACTAGTCACAACACAAAGCATGCTGGGAGATACCAATTACTTACTGAGTTGTAGTCTTCTTTACAGCGCTTGTCTTCTGCTTGTCCTCACGGGCGCAGAGAGGGCATATTTCACCCTAAACAGAGGCAAAAAACATGACACTTCCAACATCAACTTGAGACGTATGCAAATGACAAGACAGAAGTTATGCTCGGCTACAGCAGTTAATTAAGAAACAACTGAATAAATCGCCGAATCTATAGCCGCTGTGGAGATTTGTCAGCAATAATATATATCATAACTTTTAAGCTCGGCTAGATTGAAAATCCCTGGTGTGTGAAGACCAAACACAGCCACGGAGAGGTTGCCCAGTGGAGGGGGAATTCTATCAAGGTGGACAAGATGAAGATTTGTTACATTTGAAGAGAATGGCGCTCTCTTGACCTCCGCGAGCCACTGTATCAGCTGCACAGTTGAGCTAACAATATTATAACGCCGGTCACAAAACGGAGGAACAAAATAATACCTCTTTATTAAACGCTTTTATTGTTTTGATATTGAGAATTTAGTGTGGTCACAAAACGACAATTTCAAACCACATTTCGAAAAGGCTCCATACTCAGTTCGGGGTGGGAAATACTGAAAAAAATTATAGTATTCAGCAATGTTATGTCAAATCAACAGAAATGTGTAAAAACATGTCTTTGAAAGTATTTTTTGAGGTTTAAGTTTTAAACAAATGTGAAATGTAAAATATTTAATCACCCACAGAAGTGCAAAGTTTTCATGTACCATTATTTTTGAACTATACGCAATACAATGTTTGATACCATAAGGCAATAACTCTTTCTTTGGACAACATAATCGAATTTCAACTCAGAATAATAGTCGTTAATTCATATTATAATGTGGTTTTATACTAACACTGATATAGACTCACATCAAAATACTATGTCCTGTTTATGTGATTGTTTTTACTTGTTCAGCTACCAAGTTTTGATACTAGTTTGAGTATTGATTTTCAACACAACAAGAATTATTTCACATTATTCTGTTTATTTAGTGTTTGACAAATGGCTGTTACGTTGCAAGGATGAAATGCTTACCTCGGGGAAGAGAAGGTGGTGCAGATATCCAACGCTGAGTAGAAGGGTCACTGTCTGACAGGCCTCTGTGAAAAACAAGTGTACAAGCAGTTTACATATTTGAAGACTCCAAAGTTTTAAAAGTTCATTTTGTTCTAGTGCAGACAAGTGTGGGCTAGCTACGTCTGTCTTACATAACTGTTTTTCTGTACAAATAGGTGAAAGCAATAAAGTTTAGAACAACAAAGTGCACCTGGATTTCACAGTGAAGCCGGAGAGTTGTGTGTGTTTTTAGTGTGTCGCCGTATACCTCCACACATGCACGCACATACACACACACACACATTTAGCCCTCACTCTCTCAAGTTAAAAGGTGCAATGCCTGGAAGGCTCGAGCTCTCAACTGCACGTAAATCACAGCGTTAACCTGACACCATTGATTTCTCATGTACGCCTTTTCAACCGCCTGCATCAAAGTACACAAGCAGTGGCATCCATATAATTTAGAGGCCATTAGTATTGATGATTTTTGAGAGTTAGTCACAAACCTCACTGTAAAACAAGAGCTGCTGCAGATTACTACGGACATTCTACCCCACACTTTCCCTTCACGACATTAGGAAATAATTAGCGAGGGCAGGTTTGTGTTGAGGGGGCACGAGGGGCACTAACTGGCCTGGATGTTGTTTCCTGAGATTTTTTTTTCTTTCTTTTATTCTCCCAGAATTCCAATGACCCCTACAGGCAACCAGCGCCTGCAAATGCTGAGGAATGTGCTCTCTGAACTGTACAAAAAGCCCTCCGCTCAAAGTGCACCGCTGAAAACAAAACATGCCAACTGCTATAATTTTTCACTGTTGTGAGTTTCTGGAAAATGTTGCACAGATTACGATGCTACATTTACTTAGAACAAGGTGAAAGAAGTGGCAATGGGTGCAGGAACACATGTTAAAAAATAGCACTGATGAGCAAATTCAATAGTTTAAAGGTGCATTGTGTAACTTCTGTGGTGGAGAGTCCATCAAATGCTTGTCTCCATGGAAATGTTAGTACTTTGTCTGGATTGTTTCACAGTATGGTATTAAACAATTCTATCTTCATGGAGACGAAACCAGGCCAAGTTACAAGTCAGATCTGTTGAGAGGCAACCCAACACTGCTGTAATTAAATAAATGTAAAGTAGAACTGTTTAATGTCATAGTGTGGAACATTTCAGGCAGAGCAATGACAAAAAGTGACACAGTGCACCTTTAAAAACTCTAAAAATGTAACAAAATATAGGAGAAATGTCCAACAAAGCAGCAATAAAGACGAAGGATTTAGATTTTAAAACTGCATAAATTTACACATTTACTTTAAATTATTTTGAGCAAAGTTGACTTTGCTATCACAACACCTTTGGGCTGTGCAGATGCCATATTTTATTCACAGGAAAAGCATTAGGAAGGCTATTAGTCTGCATGACCTCCAATTCTAGGGATTTACAAATACCACCCATATCTCTACGCCAAATATAAAACCAATGGTAAATTCTATCGACTTATAAATATGGCAAACGTATTCAAGTATTCATGAAGGCCTAATAATGCTATAGGCTGATATTTACATAAAGCACTAGCACGCTAAGTCAAGATAAACTATTTAAGACCCGCACCACAAATACCTCCACACAGCAGAGAAAGGAGGGTCCAGTCATGAAAGAGGACATTATGCTAACAAGTCAGATTACTGTACACAATAACTTTATCTTAAAAGTAAATACCATCCGTGGCGTTGGGAGAAAAGGGGGGTGGCATTATGGAAAGTCACTGGCAATATTTCTGTGGGGACCAAGCGCTTCTTATCAGTGTTAGTCGAGCAATTCAGGCTGCCCCAAGAAAGATGAGTCTTCAAACTCATTCTATTCATGGTCAGACGTGTAATTACCCTCCGCTCACAGTCTAGACATAACCGCTTTCAGAGTATTTAAGACCCCCTATGCAACGTGTGGACGCCTGCTCCTACCACCAAGCCCTGCACGTTAAATCTGAGGCCTGATAAATTAACGAAGAATGCAATAAAATAGACACAATGAGGGGAACTTTATCCTCCCTGCTGCTAAATGAGATTTCTTTGAAATGCAGATCAGCGCTTCTAGATTAGTGAATTTTAGCTGCTGTCAACATCATAACAAAATACAAATGCGATTGTTCACTGGCGCCTTATCTCCTTGCTTCCATCTGCTGGCTGGTTATTTACTCCCCCCTGATTTACTATGCAGATCTAAATAAGTCGCATCAAAAGGAGGGCTTACTGCACAATGCCTTCTTAAGCTTCTACATCAAGGTATTTGAAAAACCGGTAGTCACATGAAAAGGCTGCCCATCAAAGGCACATCTCTAATGAACTCTCCCGTATCAGAGGGGGCTAGTGGGGCCTGGCTTTAATGCCGTCTGCGCGCTGAGAGAGAGAGCGAGAGAGAGAGAGGGAGACACACACAACTACAAATCAGACCGAACCAAGCCAAAGCTGCAGAAAGGGGAGGAGGAAGACAGAGAGAGGGGAGAAAAGAACAGGAGAAAGGAGGAGGAAGGCTTGTGTTATCAGATTAGATTAGCGCACCGCACGGACTAGCCTTACGTCTCTCATACATCCATCCAAGTCTAAAGTGTCCACACATGAAGGCACTCTTAACAGACTACAATAGCACTAGATTAGAATTTAAACGTTACAATGGATTAGACCTGGAAGGCTCAGCAGCTACAGGTTTGGTCTGAACTAGAAAAGGCGAAATGTACAAACTTGTGTAAACTTGTCACCGTACTGTTACGACTATAAATAGCTCGGGAGAAAAATTAAATTTGAACGGTGTTTTGCATAGACCAAGATGGCAAATAGCTTTTCAGAACAAGCAGATTGGTGGTCTTTTCATTCTGCTCAGGTCTGCAAACAGCTTGGGTAATCTCAAACAGAGCTTTTGCATTACGCTTCTGCAATAACCTTTAATTTCATGGTGTATTTGTTACATTCAGCACATGGGCCGGATTACAACTGACAATCTCGGAGACTTGTACTGGGGAAAATAAACTGCGTGAACACATCATGATCTGTAAACCCTGTTCCACCATACCCCCCCCTCCCACACTCTACCCCCCCTACTGTGATCAGCGCTACCACCGTCCTCGCTTTGTACAGCAGCAGCAGAAACAGCAGCGCGTCTGGTTCGGAGGATACACCCCCACCAACAAGCACGCAGTTTACTTGTGAACAATTAGCCCCGGAGCACACGCGGGCCGGGCTCTGGCACATGTGGTTAAGAGGCGAGCGCTGCAGGAGTGAGCCAGATGATGAAGGGGTGAGAGGGGGTGAGGATGAAGGGGGGGGGGGGTGTATAGACGTGTGCCATCCACGCGAGTGCCAGCGTACAGCCACTGGGTATGTCTCTGTCAGTCTTCACAGTGCGGATGCCTTCGCTATAAGAGAAAATAGCATGCAATGTGATTATGATGGCTGTAATGAGGATGCGATCGGCAATTTATGTTTCGGTAAAGTTATTTCGTTTTTCAGGAGTTAGAAACGGTTTTGTTGCAAGCTAAACTAGAACTTGAACGAGAACGCAGAAGCTTTGACTTTTTGGAGTTGAATGTTCACATTAAAATTAAGCTTGTCACAAAAATTACTGTATCGGCTTAGATCATTTAAAATATGAAAGCTGGTACAATATATTTTTGGTCTCAGTATTTATTGTGGGTGGTTTTCCATTGCAAAATTTTGGAGATTTTTGTAATTTTTGTAGTGATGTGATAAGATTTGAGCTGTAGAAAGTTGACTAAGTCTCTTCTAAGGATAATTATTGCTTCATTTGGCTATTTATGTGTTGCAGCTCAGGTCTCTTAATGATACTGTATGTTTAAAATGTTTTATTGGGATTGTGTGACATAAATATTGCGTAATTATTTATTACAATATATTTCTATAGCAATATATCGTGCTTCAAAATCTGTTAATGTGACAGGCCTTATTAAAATAGTTATACTGCACTTGCTGACATAACTTTATATAAATTAACTTCTTCCTGGGACCACACCGATGTGAAGGCATCCGATACCAGTGGCTGAGTTCCGACAGAAGCCCAACTTCTCAGCCCTCCCTCACCCCGCCTCGAGCCACTCTACTGTGGAGCATGCCAAGTGGGCGCAGTGCCAGTCGCATTTGCAACCACAAGGGACCCTTGTCTTTTTGCCTTGCCTAATGAAATGACAAAACAACAGATTTGCATATGCAGAAACAGGTGTTGTAACAGGTTTGACTCCTCTTGACCCCCGCTGCGTTTAAGAGAGAACAAGCAGGAAAAAAATATACACTGAAAAAAGTTTATGACCAACAGCTGCCCGGAGGTATTTAGGCTCTGATGGGCACTCCAATCTGCACCATCTGCCCTGCTGCTTGCCAGAAGTGACAAACTAAATTAAAAACCACTCATCAAACAACATAAAAATAAAGCATTGTTTTGTTGCGTCCATATGTTGTGGCCGCTTCACCTCGGTCCCGGAGAGGATGGGAGCTGGAGGCCCGTGTAGCTGTGATCCAGGGAAAACCCGGAGAGGCACACAGTAGCCTGTAATTACCCTCCTACCGATCTGCTGTCTCCTGACCAGAGCCCTGCGTCATCCTCTGCTTCATCCAAGTCCATCCTCTCCACATCACAGCGGAGAAAGCCTCACTCTGATACTGTGGTCAAAACACGCCATTGTTTACAGTAGGATTAGGGTTCGCCTGCTGAGTGTTTAGATGAGGCAGGAAAAAAATTACAACAACACAGCTTGTTCTGAGATTGTATCTTTTTATGCAAATTCCCACTCCACATATTTAGATTTGGCGCTTTTCAAAGGTCTCTGAAACCTAAAATAACATGATTTTTGGAAATGTCAAACACTGCCAAACTTCATCTTGACCCCGAAGGTTTATGACTTCAAGTTCTGTCGATGTCCTCAAATTCTCCAAAGACACTGAAGAACACATTAAATGCCCAACAAATGCCCACTAAACAACCCAAAGCGATAAACCAACCCCCCACATTTTCCTCCTGTTTTTATTTAGACGAGTG